TAAAAGAGCAAGGAGTTTTTTCATTTGTTTCCATTTCTGTCTGTAGATTTTATTCCAAACTCGCGGAGAAAAATTGGTAGCGAATTATTTTTGTGATAGAATGGATTTACTTGTACGTAATTGCACGTAATTATGCGAGGAATGGTACTGGTAAGTCTCGCGTGGTGGTTTGGTGGTGGGACATACGGGTATAAACTTGGTGGAACGATAGTTGCACAACAAGAAGACGCGGATATACCTCAGTGGTATGGGTGGTGGTAAGGTTGGAGTTGCTTGGGTAGTTGGAGTTGCCTTAGCAGTTTATTGTACGGGGGAGGGCACTCAGACCAGTACTGGGGCTTTTGCGGTCAAGCCGAAACGCAGGTGCTACTTCCTCCTGGAATGACTGCAATGGGGTTCTCGAATAGTTCACGAGATATAATGAATCATTAAAACGATAGTTAAGAGCAATTCCAATCGCCGATTAATAATTTTCCAACAAGAAATAATCAGTGTTATGAATTTTCATTCAAGAGATACGATCCAGATTTTTTCATTTCCCCTTTACATTTATAAACTATTTACTTTATTATTTAATTGAACTACAATTAAAATTAATGTGGGTTTGGTAAAAATTAAGAATTAGTGCTGTGTTAATTTTTTTTGTTTGGGCATAATAATCCTACATGAAGATGACCCGGGAAAATTTGAAAGGTAATTTTAAAGTTTTATCATATTAAATTTATTTGAATGATAATGATATAATTAAAATTATTGTTGTCACTGGGTAAAATCCACGATTCGACGAATGTAAGTTGGAGCTCGAGTTAATGCGGTGAAGGGGTAATTCATGAAAAATTTATAGCGACATGGAGCATTTTGTCTATTTACCGCGGTGAAGTGAAAGGTAGAGTACAGAGGGGATGTAACAGACTGGGATAGACATATAGAATGAACTGGAGTGAAAGGCTTTTGAGTAAGATCCTGAGCGCAATATCTTCAGCTCTCGTCGTCAGTCTTATCTCGAAACCTTTCAAAAGCAGATGTTATTGCGTTCTGAGGAATAAAGTAGATGGAACGAGAGCCAGGGTAGGTAGATAAATACAGATGCACTTGCCGATTCCCTTCATATTCTCTTCACTCTGTTAATCTAATATATTAATATCAATCGTATCAACACTATTGGATGGAGAAAGTATCCGGGTAAAAAAAAATTGTAATCGGAATATTTTTTTATAATTTTCAAAAGATTTCTGGAAAATGTTTTGAAAAATTTTTCCAAAATTTGTTTCGGAAAATTTTTAAATAATTTTCTAGAAATTTTTGCGACTATCATTTTTTCTTTTAATTATACTGTTGTTTCCTTACTTTAAAAATTTTTCAATATTCTCGAAAAAACGCCATCTAATTATAGAAAAATTTTCCTATTCAAATTTTTGAAAAATTTTTCAAATCCTTTCTCAAAAAAAAAATTGTTTTGTTTTCCGGTTTTTTTGTTTCATAAAAAAAATTCCCTGAAAAGTTTTCCCGAAATTTTTGTACAATTTGTAAAAAAATATTCCGATTACAGTTTTTTTTCCCAGATATTTTTCGTCAGGGGTGAATTTTTCAGTCGGTGGAAAATTGACGGTAGATTTAAAATTTACCGGTGAAAATAATCGCGGTAATAGTTTGCCCCTCGTGTCATTCCATGGAAGATTCATTGTGAGAACGTTGAATGCATTTCCCTGGACCAGTGGTCCCCGTTTTATACATTTTAGAGACGATAGCGTCGCACTGCTGCCGATACGTGCCCGAGTTACCGGAATACCTCCAGGAAAATAAAGGACATTGAACTCAGGCCACAGTTGAACTAATTCACTGGCTTCTGTCGTCGCCGACTCTTTAACTGCCCTTCCTGAGGATAATTTACCTGAAGGTTCGTCGTTACGATTATTTCCTCGAGGTGAACTACAATTCAATGAGCATTCGACGTATTTTCACTCGTGAATTGAGTGCTACACGCTGTCAGTGATCGATAGGTTATTGGAAAATACGGAATTTCCATTTTCTTTTTACCAAGAGAAATGCTTTTCGCTTCGTCAGTTGTCGGTATTTCTCGAAACGTAGGAATCACGAGGATAAATAACTATTTTGACTTTATGTTATTCTATTCATTCATGAGTGATGAGGAATTTTCCATGAGATATTTAATTATTAACGTAAAAATTATGAAAGTTGTAATTACACTTGTAATTAAACCGTAATGGGTTTGTCGATAATTCCGAGGATGTAGTTAAAGCGTTCGAGGTTTATCGGTACAGATATTGGATGACACTTTACGACGATGAGCTCACCAGGGTGGCTAAAGAGGTGTAGGTCGACGGAGTTTGGCACGTCCAAAACCACTGTACCACGAATACGAATATAATACCACCTTTACTGTCGCCATTGTGTCGTAAAGGTAAATACACTCCGAGCCACCCCACAGCCAAACGATAAGGAAATTGTCTGCGATCTACACAACACACAAAGCATTCAATTCCTATTTGTCTGAAGATCATTCAAATGGCTAACGTTCACTCATTTTACACCGATTTTTAATAAAAAAAAAATAAATACAGTAGTAAAATTTTAATTTGTCCCACGGATAAAATGAATTGGGAAAATAATCAGCTGAATCAATAATTTTCATTTATGAATTTTCATGGAAAAGCGCAGGAATCGGTGAAATAGACGGAATTTTAGGGAAAACATTGGGGAAATGTTGAGGCACACGTCGACGGGTGAAATCTGTGGGCTCAAAGGGAAATGGCCGGAGTAAAAGGCGTAACGTTTACCTGCCATACAGCTCATACATTCGTCCCCGATAACATTTTGCCCCGTGGTAGGGGGAGGGGTGGAAAAGGTGGTAGTGGAATACCCTCGGGAAATATCAGCCCTCTTCCTCTCACCTCCTTTGTACCTTTCTCACTGCAATACCCTCTCGCATGTACCTCAGCCGTGAAACTCGTTCATCTGGCTGAATACGAGGCGAGAGAGAATGAAACTTCACGTTCTGGAGAACTCGAACGAGAAATATGAAGTTTCCGTTGCACATTTCGTGGGGGAGTCTTGGGTGTGTCTTATTGATTTTAGAAGTTTTGAATTATTTATTTTTCTCACTGAAATGATAATTCATATGAATTAGGGGCTGGAGTCGCTCTCAACTCTTAACAGTCCCGGGTAAAAAAAAATTGTAATTGGAATATTTTTTTCCAAATTTTTAAAAAAATTTGGGAAAACTTTTCAGAAATTCTTTTTTATGAAATGAAAAAAATCTGAAAGCAAAACAATTTTATTTTTGGGAAAGGTTTTGAAAAATTTTTCAAAAATTTTTGAATAGGAAATTTTTTTTATATTTTAGATGGCGTTTTTTTTGAGAATATTGAAAAATCAAGAAAGTAAGAAAACAGAAGTATAATTAAAAGAAAAAATTATATTCGCAAGAATTTCTAGAAAATTATTTAAAAAAAATTCCGAAATAAATTTTTACAAAATTTTTCAAAACATTTCCCAAAAAAACAATTGTTTTATTTCCCAATTTTTATTTGTTAAAAAAGAAAAATTTCCCGAAAAATTTTTCAGAAAAATATCATTTTTTTTACCCGTGGTATCAATTTATTATTGTTATGAGTATTATTATTATTTTCCCTCACAAAACGCATTGAAACCCTCAAGTTAAGTAGTACAATTCCATTATTGTCAGACGCCAGGGAAAGACCAAGAGAATCGTAAACCATGAGTTCCACCATCGAAATGCTCTTCAAAAAAAATCCCAACTTGGCAACTCAATAGAAATCAGAGGAATGCAGTGCGACAAAGGCCCGTATGCAATATATTCCACTCTCTCCATTCTCTCGCCTCGAAAAGCCCGGGGTTTTCCTCAGAATCATAAAACAACTCCGTATTCCCTCAGAATTGGGCGATCTAAATGCTAATTTCGTTCCACGATGGATGCAGGGCAGAGAGGTAGATCGTTGGGACGCCTCAATCAAACCCAAACTCAATTTAAATCTTGATTCTTGAAGACACCCTCGCCTACTCCGCAACTGCTCGACTTAGACTCCCAGTTCTTCCATCGGTTCCTAGTTTCCACTCTGATTGCATCGCAGTTATTGGAGGGGCGGGATTCGATGGAACTTTCAAGTTGAATTGTCAAGTCTAAATGTCATTTCATCGACGATTAATTGCATTATTTAATTTTAAGATAAATGTGTGATTAAGGTCCACCAAAAAACAAAAATCATTGAAATGTCTTCCAATTATCCAATTTCTTTGGATAAAAACCATTCTTATCCTCTCACTCCTCAACAACAAAACGAAACAAGAGAGAGAATCAATAAGGAGGGAAATACATCGATAAATAATCCTGAAGTAAACTATTAAATAAACAAGTCATGAGACATTGACATGATTTTGAAATGCAACTCATGAGTTGGGATTCGATAAGTATATGATAAGTATAGCTGTTCAGCTAGTCAGCTAGATACATAAATTTCGGTGTGAATTTAGTTTCATCTCCTCGGAACTTTATACAAGAGCAGAAACTTGGTAAACGCCTCTGCCGAACACTGGGACATATTGCCGAGGAGTTGGAGGGGTTGGGATTAATTTCCAATGTCTCGGAGGGTGGTAAATGCGGGACAGGGGCAAGCTGCTCCCAAACCCGAACAAAACTCTGTCGGACTTTGAAATTAAAGTAGTAAGTACCGAGAGAGCTGTGTAAATTTGGTACCGGAGTTTATCGCATTTTCTGCTTCTGTGAAAATGCCGGGAGCTAATTAAATGCCCACGAAAGTCCGGAGTAAATAACAACAGCTGGAAATTGTTGAAATATTGAATTGCCGAATTTATTCAATTATCCACTGGGTCATTCATTCATGATAATCACAGTACAGAGTTAAAGCCCCATTCCTTTCATTCGTGTGGAAATTTATTTCGATCGAATGTCAAGTTTTCACTCGATTTTTTAACATTCGATGAAAAATCACTCGCTATTATTTCAATTATCAAGACTTTATTTTTAATCTCATTAGTTTCCTTGAGGTCATTGCACCGTAGAAATTCGACAAAACACTAAATCTTAAATAGGTATTACAACTAGAAAATAAATTGAGATTTCTTTAAAATAGTCACGAAAAATGCACTGAGTCTATTGAATTGACTGAAGTGTTCTTTAATCCTTGTACACTTTATTATCTTGTGTCTGCGGTGAGCTCGTTGGCTTGTCGCGTTCTGTTGAGTCTGGCTTGGTCGAGGATTCTGGCCGATCGTAGATATAACTAGTGCCACGAGAACCACCAGGCGATGCTGTGCTGTCATGGAAATAATCCCTAGGTCGATAAGACCTGCAACAGTTGAGAGAAAAAAAAAATCAGCGTAAAAACGCAAATAATTGTCGAAAAATTATGAACAAAATATATCCAATCGTTTGAATTGTCTCAAGACATTTCCCACGCATAAATATGAGAAAAATTAATCACTTCAGTCGACTCACAATAATTATTTCCTCGCTGTGTAAATCTATAAAACTAGTACACGCGATTCAATCCGCCCCTAAGAATACACACAGTGCAATTCACTGGGATTTATTCGAGCGTATTTACGCGCTCGAGAAGATTTCGATAGCACCGGATTAATTGGATCCCCGAGGATTATGCGTGATTGCTAGAAATCGACGTTATATTATGCCCAGAGCCATTGTAATTTTGTTTTCCAAGCAAATACCATAACGAGAGCACTAGAATTTAAACATTGAGTAGCGAAAATAATCAGCTTAGTTGGATAGCTCTTCCTCCGGTTATTTTAAACGAATGAAAAATAACCGGTTGATCAAACCGATCCGATCACAACTGCATCGTCCACTTCTCCGATATATCCATCGACTTTATTTAATTTTTAATTGAAACAATCGAAAATGACGTGACAATTGGCACTCACCCATCGCGATCTCTGTCCAAGTCCCTCCAACGCTCCCTTCATGCCCCAATCACGTGATAATGGAAGAAAAAATGTGAGAAGGTGATATAAAATATGGAAAACGCCACTGATAATATATCTGACGTCTCGTGTAAAGGAAGAGAAATCTACTGAGGATGTGGTACTCACCCTGGCTCTCTGTCTCTGCCAGTTTCTCGCCAACTGTCTCTGGGACCAAGGTAATTCCAACTACTGGCGTAACCTCTTTCATATCCCGGTCCCCACACCCCAGACGAGAAATATCCACGGGAATCAGGTCGATCTCGAATTGGATAACGCTCGTATCGATCATCGTATGGACGACGGTTATAACTTCGCTCCCAGTACGGATCATAACGCTCGTACGGGTCATACCTATATTCAATGATTCATTTTGAATGTCGAATCGGTGAGACCCGAATTATTCAGTCCTTTGGAGATTGACAAGAGGTGTGGTAAAATGTACAATTCAGATTGTACAATTTGGATTGTCTCAGTAATTATTGACTCTACAGGAAAATGTTATTTGCGCTCTAAAAGGGCATGATGATACCTTGACGGATAATTTCGGTTGTACCGATCGTATCTGTTGATGTAGCTGTCATCCATTGGTCGTCTACGAGAGGAATAAGGATCGTATCGTGCTGCGTAAAGGTGCCTCTGGTCCAGGTTGTCGTATCCGTTTCCCCGCTCTGGATAGCGATCGACGTTATGATCGTACTTACCACTGTCATAGTAACGATCTCTACCGGTCTGCACGTCGTACCTGCAATCATTTAAATCACACCAAGGTAGTCACCGTCGTTTATATTCAATTAAATCGTTAATGATCACTTGTTGTCGGTGGTGAAAATAATTACCGATCTGGATAGCTCATGGGTCTTGTCATGTCACGCCTGAGGTATGGATCATAGCGGTCATAGTCCTGAGATTGTGGTTTGATCCGATCGTAGTCGAAAGGAGGCCCTCTCGGCCGGTCATAATCGTACCCACCTCTCATCCTATCGTAATCATAAGCAGGTCTCATCCGGTCATAATCGTAAGAGCCTCTTGCCATCTCGGGTAGAGAATTGTCGTAACGATCTCGGTCCCTCTTATCCCCGAAATAATCGTCGTCGTAATAATCGTATCGATTTCTCTGTCTCCATCTGGCAAATATCCATCAATTAAAATAAACAATGGAAATTTCAGGCGCGACCATTAACTCCAGATTCACCATTTCTTTTTCAATGCGAAGAGACTGTGAAGGAAAAATTGGGGACAATTGTCGTTGATAAGGAGAATAAAGTGACAATTTCCCATTTTCATTTCCCCTCAAGTGTCTTCAAGCCCCTTCCCACGTACCCTCCCCTCTGGGATGCCACATGTCTCGGAAATTTTTCTCCCCGGGAATTACTTTCTTCAGACTCAAACTTTGGCAATAACGTTCGGGATAAAAGACACTCGCCGTCTGCATTCCACCTTTGTGTCAACGAAAATATATTGCGTCATAGAAAAATTGAGGGCATTAGTTATAAACAGAAACAATGAATTTTGGAGATGGGGTAACTAATCGACGGTTATTTCATTGAATAATTTGGCATTTCTCGACAGTTTAAGGAATCCCGGGTAAAAAAAAAATTGTAATCGGAATATTTTTTCCAAATTTTCAAAAAATTTCTGGAAAAGTTTTCAAAAAGTTTTCTTTTTGAAACAAATGAAAATCGGGAAACAAAACAATTGTATTTTTGGGAAATGTTTTGAAAAATTTTTCAAACATTTGTTTCGGGAAATGTTTTACATCATTTTCTAGAAATTTTTGCAAATATAATTTTTTCTTTTAATTATACTGTTATTTCATTACTTTTTTTGTTTTTTATTATTCACAAAAAATACGCCATCTAAATGATGAAAAAACTTTTCCTATTCAAATTTTTGAAAAATTTTTCAAAACCTTTTCCGAAAATAAAATTGTTTTGTTTTCCTTTTTTGTTGTTTCATAAAAAAAAATTCTGAAAAGTTGTCTAGAAATTTTTGGAAAATTTGGAAAATTTGGAAAAAATATTCCGATTACAATTTTTTTTTTCCGTGAGAAAATATTGGATTGTGGTGAAAAAATTTGATGGGACACTGTGGGGAATTTAAACAGTTAATCTGGTTACGTATCTGGTGTGCAATAACTCACCCTCTGTCGGAGCCTGCGGACTTGTTAGGGTCACAGGTGATGCAACGTGACTCGTAGTAAGCAGCATCGCGGTGCTCTGGTTCACCGCGTATTCCAATAGCACCAGAAGTCACGGATGAGCCTTCAGTCGCATATCTACTTCCGTAATACATCTCAGAGCGAGCCTGTCGGTACAAATTACCAAGGGTTTCTGCTGCCGAAGGTGTCGGACTTGCGTCATCCCCTAGCGCATTACTCAACACCAGTAAAATCACCAGAACTGTCGCTTTTCCCTGCAATTTTTTATTAATTGTCTCATTACTCCCATTAAATCCTCCCTTATCCTTACAATTATTCGAAACCGACGTCGGTAGCTCAGTGGCTAGACGCGAGCCTAGTGTTCTGAAAGTTGTGAGTTCAATTAGCCAGAACAGGACAGAAAGGACCGGAATAAAAATAAAAATCATTTAGAATTCATTGAAAAAATCATCAGTCGTAGCAAGACTCGTAAACACCATAACTCTTCGAAAATTGATTAAATGCTCTCAACGATCGATAACAGAAGCTCAAATGGAATGGCTTAACCCCCGGTTTTCAATGGGTTTCCCTAGCTTACCCCCCCGACGACTTGGCCATCACAAAAGCGCAATTACGGGTGTTAACGTGGGAAAGTTCAAAGCTTCCGGGCATAGAGAGAACGTTTAAGGCGGTTACGTTTAAGGTTGAGCCACAATGGACATTCAACGTTCAATTGCTCCTGGGGAAACTAATGAAATTTCAAAGGACAATGTGTTTGTGATGGCGTTAGAAAACACACCATCCATCTCTCGAGTCCATTCTATTGACTTTTCATTATTGCCGCGTAATTGTAACCTCCCGTGAAATATTTGCCAGTCAGCAATATACCAATTTTTTTTTTCAAAATAAATAACAATAGTCATTTGTACTGAATTTATCTCATCGTATAAATTTATTCTTCGTTAAATTTTCATTAACCTCGGTTTTCAAATTTTGTACTACTATTAATGGTTTAATCCACCCATTCTTAAAAATCGTGTTTTAATTATCTTCCCTCTTTCATCTCTCGTTAATTCATTTTCCATTTTCCTTTCAGTGTAATAAGTCTATTTAACATTCTACCAGGTCTCATCGTACTATTATTATTCATAAACCCTCTGCTTCTTCAGTGGAGAATTCCCTTTTTATTCTAGTCTTTTTTGCACTCGGTCATTCGCGAAAGTTAGTACGCGCTTTCTCTCTCTCGTCTTTTCCCTGATTTATTTAATGCCCCGTCGTAGCAACAGAGCGCTGGGTCGCGAGTTAATGGACTACTCGTGGTCGTAAATTTACATTTGTAAATTAAAATTGAATATTTCGAGTTCACATCCCACTTTTCTGATGCACATAACGACAAGAATATCCATTATGGATGATCATTACAACCCCAACAACCAGAGATGAAAGTATTTACTGCTTATTTATAACTAGTGGTTAACAAGTTCTGCGAAAGTTCATAAATCATCGATTTTCCCCCTAGGCTTACTCAACCCCCCCCC